CCCCCCCCCCCCCCCCCCCCCGGCCCTCCCCGTATGTACAGTAGTTAGCTGGCGCTCCTTCAATACCCAAGGGCCAGGATACAAACGGTGGCGCGTTATGTTCGGCAGGGCAAGGGCATCAACGCACACTTTCATTCCGTGCCCCGGAATCGGATCGGGGCGTCCGCCGCCGCCGCCTACAACCCCCAGTGGGATCAAACACAGAACGAACGACACTTTGCATCCGTGTCTACAGCAGGAAGTCCCGCAAAGCAACCCTAAAGGCAGAAGTAGAAACCGATGCTTCGAATTGGTACACTCGAAAGCCCTGGTCAAGACAACCGAGGAATAAAACTAAACTACACCAGCGACCCCAATAATAATGGCCCTGGTCCAGGAGCGATGCGGTCGCGAGCCTAGAGTAGAGCCAGCGGACCTACATTTGACAGCCAGCTGAAGTGGGCATGATCTGGTTACCCTCTAGCGGGCAACAGCTGGGCAGAAAGCAAGTCCTAAACATGACCTTCCTCCGAGACACAACTGGAACTAATGATGTTATCATGGGAACCCCTGGCAGGCCGGGGTGGTACGGGGGGGGTGGGCTGGGCCCATGTTGTCGGGTTTATGTGCTATTGGCCTCCACCTCTAAGAGAAAAAGCGCGAGTTGCTGTTCTGCCACCAGTGTTTCAGCTGCAGTTGCTGGTCCTGCTGCTCGCGTAAGAGCGAGGGGGTCCGCTAGCTGCTGTCGTAGGCGATTTCGGAAGCGCGAGGCCTGCCTGAGCCGCGATCTCTTGGATCTCGAGCGCCCTGAAGGGCTTTCGCAGCACAGCCAGCGCCCCCGACTCCAAGCACAACGCTTCTTTGGGAAGAGAGAAGAGAGAAGAGAAGAGAACGAGAAAGAGAAAGAGAAGGGAGAGGGGGAGAGAGAGAGAGGTAGAGAGGGAGAGAGATAGCAGGGGCTTCCAGCATCAGCGACAGAATCAGCACAGTCGACTAGGATCACGTTCACGGCAAGACAAAACCAACGTGTTGGTGGACACACAAGGCAAGGAAAGGGGGCCAGAAAACTAGACAACACAATACAGACACCACGCCCAGCACTTGATATTGAGCAAGTTCGTGCCAGTCTGCGAAACGATAAAGCAACTTGAGACCCTCAGGGGTAAGTCCCGCAGGGTAGCGCAGGGAGCACGGGAGCATGCACACAACTACCGTCTTGGAGTGTAACATGCCGGCTTCTTGACCCAGCTTCAAAGGTCGAATTACTCCACAAGAGGAGAGCGACAGTGCCGAACCAAATGTGACAGTTTATTTTTTTCATCACACTTTTTCTCGACTTCGGGCCTCGCACCTTTCGGTTGGACGCACCAGCCGATTATGGAACGAACTATGGAAGCCTAAAACAAAAGCACTAGACTAGTCTAATGGTTTGGTTTCGTCTTCTTCTTTAATGATTAGTCGTGGGGTTCGTGACCCCCGTCACTTGCACTTCCGAGGAGGGTGACTCCCCTTACAAATTGACGGTTTTCGAAAGCGTAATTTTTCGGCAATGGCACTCTCGTGGTAGGGGAGCAATCAGAGCTTGG